TCCAGCGGTTACCCCATTTGAATAGATGGCGGCCATGTTGGTCGTTCCCACTTGCTAATAAACGCTTAAAAACAACAATAACTTTCATCATTTGAATAGTTTAAAAACGTATTTGGAATAGGGTTAACTTAATGTTTAAGTTCTCTGTTTGAAAAATAGAAAACATACCAACCTGAGACTGCAATCACGGCTTCAATTTTTGAATTGCAGAATAATTAGATGCACTATCTAGTGTATATAAGATATCTATGCTGCATAGCCTCTGAATAAAACGTATCAATTTTTGTGTTGTTTTTCGAAATATACATCACATGACCGTTGCCATGACAATGAAAAGTAAGTCAACTTTTAGAATCTCCTTTGACAAATCATACAAAACTTGAATGGCAATAATCAAGGCCATACTTATTTTTTTATGATTTTTTTTGCTAAATACACAAACTGAGATCCAGGCATTAATGTACGAAAAAAGTCTATAGGTGGCCTATAGGTTCCTATAGGAATTGTTCCAATTCCCTATAGAAGCCTTTAGGTACCTATACAGCTCTATAGACTTACAGGCATCCCTACAGGTCACCTATAGAAAATGTTCCAATTGCCTATATCGTATAGAAACCTATAGGTTGGCCTATAGGCCAGGCCTATAGACTTTTTTTGTTAGGATATATGGTCGTTGGTTTGCCAACAAATTACCTCTTCATGCTTATAAAAAGTACAACCATCCTGCTTGTAAAAAGTACCACCAAGAGCAAAAATAGAGAACCTGGTCAAAACTGTTATAAGATGTTAGAAGATGATAGAGAACCTGGTCAAAACTGTTATAAGAATAGTTAGAATAGAAATTTTAAAAAAAGAAGTTGTAGAGGAATTGTCTAAATCAAACTTATTATCATGGGAGGATACAGAGATCTGTGTTGAACATTTTGTGTTGATATGTGAGAGAAGAAAGAGAAACAAGGAGAATCAATAACAATAAACAAAGTGCAGTTACAGAAACTGAACAGCAGGGAGTTTATTGAATTTGCCAAAAAGAGGAGGAAGGTGTGATGATATAGTGCAATGGCTGCGCTGAGTGGTTTAACAATGTGTGTGGATGTTGCTCAAGAGGAATCCAATGCAATGGAACAATACATTTGTGTGTTATGCTTGGAAGACATGTTTGAACACTATTTATTACTATTTATTACTGTTACTGTTTATAAAACAATGTTTTGTTAATATACAAATTGAAATTTAAGGAGTATACTGGTAGATAATAATTGTCTGTCACTGAGATGTTTGAGCAGAACGATTTGATTGATTTACTGTACGAGTACATTTTGGCTGTGTTTTATCATGGAATAATCATAATACTAATTAATACAAATATACAGGCTCCACCAATATTTCCTCATAAATTATTAGTAAACAACTACAGTATCTCATGATGATTCCAGACAGTTAGTATAATGTATAACTATGTTCAGTATGGTAGTTGATTATGGTTAAATCATTAGACACAATCAAATTCAAAACAAATGAACCGACTCAAGTAAGTCTGATTGGCCCTATTTGTATATAAAGTGGAGAAAGGTCAGGTGAATGGTAGAGACTGTGGAAATCTGAATATTAAATCATAAAATTTTTTGTAGTGAATATGATTGGTCAAACTTTGTAATTTTCAAGTGTAGTGTTTATGCTTTTAACGTCAACCAAACATCTAATAGTTTTTATTGTGCAATATGATATTGCAGGTAACCACCACAAGTATACATTTTGTGGAAATCATTATCTGGTACAAGATTTTTACAGTCTTTCAAAATTATTGGGGGGAGATCTAGCCCCCCCCCCCCCTAGTGCCCACCACTGCTTAGAGCTGATGAACTCTTCACTTGCCTTGATAGTGTCAAAATCTGATTTTGTTGCATCAGTAAATTTAGTAAAGAGATTGTTGATTATTTTTGTTTGTTGCTTCAGGGCGTAATAAAACACGGGCAAGGAAACGGCTATGGCACCCCTGATCTATGTGTGATGTGCGCCCCCCTAAAGTCCGGCGCACACTAGTGCAAGTTGCACACACAAATGTCATTCGTGACCAATTGCGTGCGACGAAAATCCTAGTGTGCGGGGAAAATATACAGGATTTTTGTCACTCGTGTTGTGAACAAGCAATATCAAACATGTTTGATATTTCCTGTCATTCGTGACAAAAATTCCCAGTGTGCGGCAAACAGCTCTTCGCAACTCTTCGTAGCAAAGGAAGTGCGCATGCGTGTCGTGTTATCCAAAAACAACATGGCGGACAGTGAAGAAGATTATTTGTGAGAAGACGAAGATATCTTGCTATTTCTTTTGCTGATACGACGACGTCGAAGACGTCTGAGGGCGGCTAATCGCAAGTTCTGGACCAAACGATGGATTTTGAGAAGACAAAGAGTCTATGATAATCTTATTCAGGAACTTGACGCAGAGGATCCGGAAAAATTTCGTCAATATCACCGGCTTGATAGGCAATCCTTTGAGAATATCTTACGTATGGTCTCGCTGTATATTTCTAAACAGGACACTCGAATGCGATCTGCAATAAAACCCTGCGAACGTCTCTCTGTTACCCTACGTTTTCTTGCTACAGGTTTGTGAAATATTTATTAATTCACCGAGCTGGCCCACTGGATATATAGACTATTCCATTTAAAAACCGAAATCCCACTTGCAGGGATACATATTTTTGAGTAGTTTCCCTTTAAGCATTCCAGAAATTTTAGAGAAATTTAGACCCCTGAAGAATTCCATAAAAAACAGGTAAGACGAATTTCACTATATTAGTAAAACCCTGAAGAATTTCAGGCTTATTAATCACTTCACGCCTTATCATTAGATTGAATCAAGAAAATTGAATTGAGAAAATTGAATTGAGATTGAATCGAGAAAACAGGAATATAGAATTAGTTTTATCAGAAATCATAACAAGAAATGACGATAAAACGTTAACATTGGCTGATAAGGTAAACAAATATAACAAGGGATTAGCCCAACTATGTATAGAACGAAATTGGTGTCTTATCAGGCACAATAATATTGACGTAAACCATTTAAATAACTACGGACTGCACTTAAATAAGCAGGGTACATCAGTCTTAGCAAAAAATATAAAGCAACTTCATAATAGGAATTGACTAGGTAACGACAATAATAATGCCATAAGACACAGCGATAATATAGTCGACAAAGATATTTCCGATAGTCCAGCACGCTGCACCTCGAAAAGCCCAAAAATTCCTTTCCAAGTTAATAAGTCTTATCCACAACTAAAGGGTTTTAAAATTGGCCACTTAAACATTACTAGTTTGCCGAAACACATGGATGAGCTTAAATTATTCATGAAGGAAATATCATTCGACATTCTTTGCATAAACGAAACTAGATTAGACAATACAATAAACGACAATATTATTAAGATACCAGGTTATGATATTGTAAGACGAGACCGAGATCGAAATGGTGGCGGTGTAGCAATTTATATAAGAAGTATCATTAGTTATAAAAACCATATCGAATTCATTCCAGACAACTTAGAATCTATTTGTCTCGAAATTCAAAAACCTAAGTCAAAACCATTCTTAATTGTTACATGGTATCGTCCACCAAATTCTAACACTAGCATATTAAACGACTTCGAAACGTTACTGCGAAAACTAGATGATACAAATATTGATATTATTATCACTGGCAACCTAAATTGCGATCTGATGGCAAACAGTCCCACTCACAGACCTCTCAACTTTGCAGAGAAGTTAAGAGTGAGATTGGGGATGTAGATGACACCTTTGTAAACGTCTGGGGGTCTGAAATGGCATTTCGTACATTATGAATTATGAGAGTTGGTGTTTTTTAATGAAATACATTGCTTCTTTAAGACAAGGCACTTTAGTTACAATTTACAACTGTATTTCTGTGAAATACAGTATAATCAGCTTTAATTTGCCTTTGATAATTTACATATAGAATTCTGCTCGGACTGATTCTGCCTTTTGTCCGTCATATTTTATACATATGCGTACTATTTTGTATCCAAATTGCGGGCAAATTGTCGGGCCGTATATGCAGGAACAATAACACGCGATTATATATTCGACTTGCGATCCGGTATAATGATTAATAATTTGCATTTAAGAATACAAGATTATATTATTGAAAAAATACTATGAAATTGCTAAATGCGTGAGATTTACTAAACGTGGCGTGAGAGCGCGAGAGTGAAGCGAATTGCGTGAGACTCACGCCGAATGCGTGAGAGTTGAGAGGTCTGCACTCATCATACAAAAAGGTTATCCGATCTGATAAATGAGTTTCAGCTAAAGCAACACATTACAAGTCCGACTAGAATAACGACAACATCTAAAACATTAATTGACATAATAATGACTAAAGCAAGCGATACCAAAATTATAGACTCTGGAGTGATACATTTAGGACTGAGTGATCACAGTTTAGTGTACATTTGCCACAAAGTAGGAATGCCAAGGGCTGAACCAAAAATTGTAGAAACAAGGCAGTTTAAATACTTTAATTCATCTGCATTTCAATACGACTTAAAAAATGGCATTTCAAAGACACTACAACCTCTATAATTATGCCGACCCAAATCATGCGTGGGAGGTATGGAAAACTATTTTTCTTGATATTGCAAATATGCATGCTCCACTTCGAATTTGGAAAGCCAAAAGTGAGCACTGTCCTTGGATGACAAACGAAATAAAAAACCTTGCGCATCATAAATTCTACTTGAAACAAAAAGCAGTCAAATTTAACTCTTCTAATTACCACGAAGCTTATAAACGTTGTAGAAATGAACTTAACAAAAGAATCAAAGCAACTAAGGTTCAATTTTACAACACTAAACTACAAAACAGTAAAAATAGTAAAGAAGGTTGGAATACATTAAATAATCTGCTTAACAGGAAATCCAAAACCACAATTGTTAATGAACTTAGCATAGACCATGGAAAAAATGTAACACAAGATAAAGATATAGTCGACGAGTTTAATAAATTCTTCACTTCTATAGGTCCCAAATTAGCAAATAACATTGCTGACAATGGCTGTAGTCCTGATCCTTTGTCATATATAGACCAAGTCACAAATGTATTTCACTTTCATAGCATATATCAAGCTATGAGCTGAAAAGAGAAATACAAAATGTGCAAATGGCAAAATCTACAGGTCTAGATAAGATCTCAACTAAGCTAATAAAACAGGCAGGCGATACAATAACTGAATCACTCCTAGAAGTGTTTAACCTATCTCTTAGGACAGGAATATTTCCAGATGATTGGAAATTTGCCAAAGTGACTCCAATATATAAGTCAGAAAACAAAACCTTATGTGAAAACTATAGACCGATATCAGTCATTTCGAATATCGCCAAAATATTTGAGAAATTAGTCTGTAGACAACTAAATACCTTCCTGGATAACAACAACATAATTGTAAAAAATCAATCAGGTTTCCGCCGCAATCACTCAACCGAAATCTCGTTACTACAATCCACTGAAATGTGGTTGAAATCAATGGACCAATAAATGGGGTTATTTTCCTAGACCTGAAAAAAGCATTTGATACGATTGATCACCAGATTCTATTGTCAAAACTACAAGCTTATGGGATACGCGACCACACGCTCAAATGGTTCCAATCGTATTTAGATCAAAGAAAGCAAATTTGCATGCTAAATAACTGTAAATCTGATGTTGAAACAATTCGTTGTGGAGTACCTCAGGGTTCAAATCTTGGACCTCTATTATTTCTCATTTACATAAACGATCTCCCAAACTGCCTAGAAACAACACATTCTAATTTATCTGCTGATGACACAATTTTATCATGTCAAGGGCATTTATCCATAGATATTGAATACAAACTTAACAAAGACCTAGTAAATGCTCAAAAATGGTTATCAGCGAATAAACTAACATTAAACAACGAAAAACCAAATATATGATTATTGGATCTCGGCAACGATTGAAAAACTTAGATCACGTGCCAAAAATCAGTATAAACGGACATCAAATTGAACGAGTTTATAAAAAGGAAGCTTTGGGTATAGTTATAGACGATAGACTTAGCTGGAATAGGCAAAATGAAGAACAATGCAACAAGATATCAAAAAATATTAATCTTTTAAGAAAAGCCAAAGATTTTGTTG